GAAAATGGATTTACACCTATTAAGCTCGTATTTTTAGAATAAAAGTGGGCATTCTGCAAAACTTATTGCCAATTATGTCAGCCCACAACAAAAGACTAAAATTCAGATTGAAATCGATTGTTTTGCATTAAAAATAGATACAAATGATATGTGTCGAAGTTAACTTAGTTTTACACGGACCATTTTTAGTAGTCAAGAGTAAGAAAAAATCGAAAGTCTCAACTTTCACTTTCAGAAAAAAACTTCATCCATACTGTCATTAAGAACGCTTTAAAAAATCCGATAGTCTGATTAAAATAGTAACATTTTAATCATTTTCTAAACAGAGCAAATCTGATAAAATTATATGTTTTTAGAGTTTGTACAAGGGTACTGCTTTTTTTTATCCGTGATGCATTTTAATGACATACCACGTTTGATTGCGGCATACTTTCGAAATGACACTAAAAAATTATGGATACTAAATTCGAAAGCAGTCACATAATTTTTATGAAGTTTTAGATCTTGCTACAAGCATACTCAATTTAGCAGCCCTGCCATGCCCTGCCCTCAGGGCAGGGCACGGCAGGACTACAAATTATGAGTCAGGGCGTAGGGCAGGGCATGGCATAGCAGGATAGATCAGGGTACAGGGCAGGGCATAAAAAAGTGCCCTGTGACGGTCTCTGCTGCTTATATAATCTCAAACAACACCGGCGTATATAAATTTTAATAAAGTGGCTTCTAAAGTGATATCCTCTTGTATTATTAGAATTGAGTGTAATGATTTAGTAGAATCCAATATCATATAAACTCATTTACTAAGTTTGATCTCTTTCTATTTCAAATTGTATTGTACCTGAATCATAACTTCTTTCATTAGTTTATAGACGCATTATTACACTTTCTTATAGCTGTGTTTCATGTGTACTATGCTTTAATAAACTGCTTTAAACAGACATAAACTCATCGTAAGGTTTACAAAAAAAAATTGTACCTATTATATTTAATATTTACTGTTCTCTCTCGTTCAAAGCAGTGGAATAAAGTGCCGAAAATTCAAAATTTTAGCAAATTTTTGTTTTCATTTTTTTAGGGTCATTGGATAGAATGCATTGAGTTACTTATGCATAACTACTTTAGCCATTTTTGGAAATAAGTTTTTCCTGAAAATAAAAAAAACCTTATGTACATACGAGTTTTTTGGTCAATTTTATTTGCAGAATCAAGACTTATAATGTTCTAAGAAAGTGAAAATTACATAAATATGATAATGGATGAATCTAATTAATCGTATTCCAAGAAAAACTTGTTTTCAATAATGGGAAAAGTAGTTTTTGATAGATAACTTCATGTGTTCTATCCAATGACACTAAATAAATGGAAAACAAAAATTTACTATAATTTTGGATTTCCGGCGCCTTAGCTGGAAGAGGAGATATATTACTGTTTCTCTCAAAATAAGGAAGTTCTTCATCCATTCAACGTTCGATTAATCTTTCTTTATGTCCTCGTACAACAGGTATAGCATTAAATCGAGCTACAGCAAACTTATCGTCATAATTAAATGTGTTACGCCATTTTTCTTAATTCTGAATCTGACGTGTCCAATTGTTTTTTACACCAGATATTGTGAGACCCTTGGTAAGCTTGTCTCGTCATCTTAATTTGACAGCATATGAAGATCTCTTAACATCTACAAATGAGGAGAAGAGTACCTTTTTTTGGCAACATCGGACGGTCTTGTTCGTTATTCACTCGATTGGCATGACCAATGAAAGATAAGACAGAATACAAGATCTCGTATCTTCTCACGTGTCGAAGGCTTTATTTATTTGACTTGGAACAATGTTTCGTGATAAAAGTCAGTCAATTCTTTCGTTTCTTGTTTACTCGTTCTCGTAGAGTAGGTGCAACCAAAATGTAGAAATTCTGTGTCATTAATGACGTGCAACATAAATAGAAAGAAAGCAACTAATTAGCAATGCATGAACAACTCTTATTTTTCTCTATACTGATCATAATCAATGAAAGATCTTATTACAATTTGTATAATTTAGCTATATTACATCTCGTCTTCTTTCTTAGCTTTCACTTTCTCATATTGTGATATACTTATAAATATCTAATAAATTCATGCAAATGGTAATGATGAGCAAGAGTAATAAAAAAAAATGAAAAATGTGAGCATTTTTAATTCGTCAACGAAAGTAATTTTTATTTTTCTCGATATATTTGTTCAAATTATTTAAAATGATTAATAGTTGATAATTTTCATCAATGTAGCCAAATAAACAAAACATTATCGTTTCATTTCTGATCACTGAGACAGCCATTGATTTGTTCTTTTATCTTAAACTTAAAAAAAAAACCAATAGTTTCTTTTTTATATTATTTTTTCTGATACGTTTTTTTTGCCTTACATATTTATTTCTTTACCATTTTTATACTTCTACGCACAAGAGAAAAAAGTTTCCTGTATGTTGAGAAGATTGCATGCAATTTACTTGTACTATTAGTTTAAGCTGATGAAAGTATATTATAGAATGTATGCCTTTATTTTTGATTAAAGCAAATTTTTAGGTAAAGAGTAAAAATTTATAAATAAAAATAAATGATTGATCGAGTCTTGTATACAAAGTCGAGATTATGAAAATATGAAAAATACAGATCTTGAATCCATTTGTGAGTGAATACGAACAACATAATGCATCTTCTCTAGTTTTCTTTGTTTTAGTAATTAATTGCATAGTAAATGTAGTACATATCTCAGTATTTGATTTTAATTACACATACATGACTCTTCATCGAAATGTACTTAGATTCCTGATCATTTCTCAGGTTCAAACTAAAACTACAAGCAAATGCTAATATGTCGGATTGTGTATAGATGTGTGTAATCAGTCGCCTAATTTACTTATGTTTATTTTCTATAAAATATTATTCAACTATGCGAAAAGAAAAATTTGTTCTTGTTGTAGAGCATATATATAAATATTATAATTCAATATTATTTGTTTCTGTCAATAGTACTATTATGACAAGCATGTGGTCGATGAATTTCTTTTTTCGAAAGTATAATCCTATTCTTTATATTATTATATCAGTATGCATTTTATATATTCTCGTTCGTTTCTCCACAATCTTACCTACATTTCAATATACTGCATTATTACATAGTAGTATTTCAACAGCTAAACCGAAATCTTATCATTTCTTATCTACGAAGAAACTTAACAGCACTGAGAACGCCATCTATTATCGTCATGCAACTTCAAATCGAAATTCTTCATATCCATATATCAGTGGTGATACATTTCGAGCATTTTCTGATTATGTTTATGATGAAACAAAGCGGGATACATTAAATTCAGTTAAATATGGAGAGATTATTTTTGTAAAAGCTGATATGATTGCACCATTTTTTGGTCCACCATTTAATTCTATAGAAAAACCATTTGTACTTGTTACACATAATAGTGATGCATTTGCACCAAATAACTATCAAACATATTTATCAAATCCGAAAATACTTATTTGGTATGCATCTAATCCTAGTGTACAAAATCATACAAAATTATCTCCTATTCCTATTGGAATAGCCAATATGCGTTGGCCACACGGAAACTTAGATAAATTAACATCTGCCATGAAAAATGATCGTAAACCTTGGTCTCAACGAACAATTTTACTTTATGTTAACTTTGATGTCGGAACAAACGGCGCTGAACGAAAAAAAGCATTATCACAAGCATCAACAATACAAAATACACAAATAATGAAAAATCGGATTCCATTCGAAACTTACTTACAACACGCAGGAAATGCAAAATTTATTCTATCACCACGTGGTAATGGACTTGATTGTCATCGAACATGGGAAGCTTTTCTAATGGGTGCTGTACCTATAGTTCGTAAATCGGAACTAGACCCTTTGTTTGTAAAAACAAGATCAGTTATTATTGATGATTGGTCAGAATTGACAGAAAAGTTTTTATTATCATTGAATTTCTCGAAAAATGATGATATTGTACCTGATGTTTCATATGCTCAATATTGGTATGAAAAGCTTTTCCAACATCGACATAATTAGTGAAAAACCTCGGCATGGGCTGTTTTTTTTTATTTAAAGAAAAAGATAATTATTCTCTATAACAACAAGTGTTTTAGCAAGTTCTTTCATTATTGATTAATAAATTAAGAAAAAGAAAGAGACAAAAACCTTCCTGATCAGTTTATTGAGCTTGTATGTAAATAGGTACGTGTATGAAAAACAAGTAAATGAGTTGGCAGATCTCAACGCTATCGATTTTACGCTATGAAAAATATATCAAAATATAATTGCCTATTGACCATGATTTTTTTTTCATTTTCCCACAATTTAATCATTATGATTTTTGTATTATTTTCAAAGAAAAATGCATTTATAAAAAGTTATCAAAGTGAAGTAGACTATAAGTTGAGAGCTCTTTACAGTAAATATATTGAAAGTAACTTCAACGTTTACTTTTGATTTTTATGTAAATGACTATTGGTCTTAATTGAATTCTTTCGAAATACTTTTGTTTGCATAGGTTTCTATGAGACCAGTGGTATGGATAATTTGAAACATCAGTCAAACAACGAATATTACTTGTATAAGAGAGAAAGATTGAAATCTTTGACGAAGAAGAAGAATTTTCTTTTAATGCACTATCAACTAATGAAATTTGCAAATTTTCTTTGTGTTCTTATTTATGGTGCAACTTCTCTAACGAGAGAATCATTCTCGTTGACAGCTGTTGTTTAAGCTCATATTAGGTTAACAAAGAGGTCTTAGTAAGGTTGTACAAATTATAAAACAGTTCGTGCACATGATCCTTTAAGCTGAGTTATAAGTTTTACTGAGCTTTTCATTCAACCATAGTTGCGTTCTGAAAAATCAAACAATCGAATTTCCACCTCAAATTTTGCTTGCAGATAGGCCTAATAATTCTGGAAATATCTTGAAAGTTTCAGCCTAAGAAGAATTCATCGAGTTTGCTTAAGAATTCAATATCGTGACAAAAAAACATTCTTTTCGATTGAAACATTCAGGATATTATCAGAGTCATCAGACCAATCTGTGGTCAAAATTTTAGATCAAAAATGTCGTAAAACGGTCATAAATTGACACTGGAGGTTCATGGATACAAACTCCTTTAGAAGTTTTCTAGTCTTACCGAGGATTCTTTATGAGCTCAAACAGCAGGTATCAATTCACGTATTTTTTTTTCGTCAGAATGACACAATCAGTGATTTGATCACTGCAACATTTAAAAAAAATAAAGGTAATCATTTAACAAGTGATGATGTGTGTCAAAATATACAGTAGCGAATAAAAGTTTACTTTTCATATGATCGTAGCTAATAAAAGTGGTAGAGGTCTAGAAAGTTGCATGCAATATTTTTCTAAGTGCATAAGTCAAAGATAGTCCCTCACCGTGGTTGCTACAATACAAAGAGAGTTGTAATGAATATGATCTGGCTTTTCTTTAACATGTTTAATTTAGAAAGATTGCTTCATACATATCACGTTGATTAAAATAAAATACATAAATAATTCTTGATATGCTTATATGAAAATGGAATCTAGTGTACATAGGCGGCGGAACGTATAGGCTAGGGAAGGCGGGAGTCTCCAACATAATTGACTCTAATAGGCTTAGGTTCATCAAAATTCGCACTACTAGACTTAGCATAAGAGAGGTGCACCGCTCGTGCAGCCAGTTTGTACCTTAATGGGAAATGTGAATCATGCTTTGGTGGTCACTCCCGCTGAGAAATCTCGTGAGCGACTGCGCTAGCGCGTTTTAGCCATGTTAGAAGTTAATTTGTTTTGAAGCTCAAACTCAAATTGTAATATCGTGCGGCGACATTTGCGTCTTGTTTGTGTCAAAGCAAAAGTGATAAACAGTACTATTGACTCCGTATTCATTTTTACGAAAAACTAAATTGTAATTTTAAAATTATATTACAAATTGTTTTTCATTTTTCGGGAAATCTTAGTTTTATAAAGTATGTTTTAGAGCACGCCTTTATATACATATTTTCTTCTCATTCTCTTTTTGTTACACATACTATAGTCCAATCAATCAAAAGTCTGAGTGACGGGTAACAGATTTCTGCTGATTTTCAGGTTTTTAACTATCAAATATTGGACAGCTAGATATTGTGTATTATTGAAGGATGGCCACCCACCATTCTAATCTATGTATAAGAAGGAAGAAATAATTCTATAGATTATAAGTTCAAGCTATTTATTCCAAAGATTAGGATTTTTGTAACATTCATCAGCTACTGAATCTCATTGTATCACATATAGACTAGTGTTCCACATTGTGCTCTTTCTATGCTGAAAACGGCAAATCGCTAAGACATACCGTTGTTCAGTTATTCAATTTTTAACCGAGTATCTTTAAATCCCGAATAGACATTAGTAGTAGGGTACTTTTTCGGGTACACTTGACTCAGTACATTCTCTAGAGAATGGCATCAATAATTCTCTCCTCTTTTCGAAGCGATGATAATGGTATGCTTAATGAGCTAAAGATCCGTATTTAAAATAACGTTGAAATAATGATACTTGATGTTGTTGAAAATTATTTTTTCGATTATTATTATAATAAAGTATTGGTTGCTAAAAATTTTGTTATGATTGAGAGTTAGTTCTTTGATAAGGCAAATGAGAAGAGTCAGTACGTTTATATGAATTATAAGATATTTTACTATAGATTGTATTAATACAACGCAGTTGATTAGTTTTATTAGATATATTAATATTGGTATAATGATAGTTTTCACTATTTAAATTTCGAGTATTATTGTGGAAACTATGTGTTAATGCTAAATTAGATGAGTTTGAATGTAGAAGAGAAACAGGTAGTGTTAAATCAACGTTGATTATTGAATCGAATATAGTGGTGATATTTAATGCTGTAAGCTCTGTAGCGATTTTCTCTTTTCCCGAAAATCTTGTGTAGTTTTTGAATAACTTCTTCTTGTTTCAGTTGATAAAAATGGTCGAAGTTCATTCATAAGGTATTGTACTTTGATGGACTAATTCATTTGAGGATCAGTTGGTTTCATTAACCTGATCATTTCAGTGTAATACTGTGTGACAGATTGATGTCAGGTTTGATGATATTGTTATAATTTTTTAAATGCCAAGTCATATTGTAAATGCGATGAGAATAATTTTGTTATTTCTGTAACAAATATAGACGAATAAATAAATTGATCGTTATATTGTTTATATGATTGGTGTGCTTCTCCTTTAAAATATGTATGAATTAAATTAAATTTATCTTATTCACTTAAATTCTTGATTTTAAATTGTTGCTTAATTTCATGAAGCCAAGTAATTACATTAGCATTATCTGTTCCTCAATAGAATTTAATTGGATCTTTGACGCACCGATCAATTAATGCTTTATATATAGTTGGAGATAAGATAGATGTAGATACAAGAACATTTTTAGAATCAGATGATGTTATATTATGACAATCAATTTATGTTATTTTAACTTTTGAATCACCGGTAGAATGATTAATTAAATGTTCATTAATCAGAACAAGTGATTGTAATGATAATGAATTATTTTTTTGTTCGGCTGAAAATTATAACAATCAATGTAATTGACGAAAATCAGTATAATATCGAATTTTATTTTTATTTAAACTGTACCAAATAATTGTTTCACTAATAAAAAAAAAATATGGCGAAATTCTAATTCGATCTTGAAATGATAATTTTAATTCAGAAAATTTTGCCTCAATTTGTAAAAAATACCGACGAGCATTTCCATCACCAGAAAGGAACGGTATATCTTGACGAAGTAAATCCAGCAGTAATGGTATTTCTTCAAAGTTATTTTGATGATGTGCTTCAATTTCGTATCATTTCTTATCAATTAGTGTGTCTGATGTTAATGATGATGTTGGTTGTAAGCAATTTGGTAATTCACTTTTGAAATTATTCCATGTAAAACTACCGCGTTTTGTAAAAGTTGTAATCCGTGGCTGTAATGAATCATTTAATTTTTTTCTCCATTTTTAATAAGTCGACTACCATCAGATTATTTTAATTTGTTGAATATGTCATCAGCTTGAGTAAGAAACTCGATAATATTAGATTCCTGTCCTGATTTCAATATAGGATTTTTGGATAAAAATTTATTTTCCAGTTGCAACTGTTCAAGTTGGATTTGTCTTAATTTCAAAATACCTTCAATTTCAGACATTATCGAAAATCATTTTGAAACTTGATGACAATTATTGTGAGAATATAAAGGATATGATTTTGGTGATGAAAATGATTCTTGTTTTAGTTTTATTGGTTTTCTGTGGCAAGATTAAAATTGACGAGCAGTTATTGATGTATCAGTTAAATTAATTTTAGTAAATGTTTTCATCAAATTTCAATGATCGGCCTGCTGTTCAAAAGCGCTTCAGTATAATGCTGTTACTAATTATGGTTTCAGTCGTTGTCCTCTTAGCGAGCATTGCTAGTCGGATGAGAATGGGTGCTGGGTAAGTATTTGAACGGGATGTGGAACTGTGATCAAAGTTGCTGTCCCAACTCACTTTTAAAGGTAATATCTTGTATGTGCTTGTGGCTGGATTATGGTATCAAGTAGTAAACAATTGCTAGTGCACAAGCAATATTTTGTCCTTGTTGCTCGATTATTATGAATAACAAAAGTAGGTTTTTTGTACAGATTGTGATGCACATTTGTTTGCTTGTGTATGGCCATGATTTAGCTGTACAAACCATGAATGAGAGAACAAGCAAAACGATGATAATATTTCCAACCAAAAAAATAAAGATATGTTTTGATAATATCCTCATCGTTATTTCGCGCACATTGTGATGCATATTCGTTTGTATGCGTATGTGTATGGTTTAGTTATACAAACAGCGAATGCGAGAACAAGCAAAACGATGATAAAATTTCTAACCAAGAAAAAGCAATATATGTATGTTTTGAAGTTTTCTCATTGTCATTTCGCGACACGGTTGGATGCACGAAGGCAAAAATTTATTTTGAAAGTAGATATAAGCACCATGACGAT